GGAAGGAGGCAGAACTAAATTCATCTCTATTTGTGAAGGAAACAGATTGTGTTTGTCCCTTCAACACCCCCCCGAATTATCCAACGGTTCCCTCACCTTCAGATTGTTCTGTTTGTGATGCTCTCCCAAAACTTTGCAAAATGTGTGCAACTTAAAACTGGCATGTACTGATTCTTGAGACATGGGACAAAACAAGTCCCACAATCTTATCTCCAATTATGTTGACATAAAGACAACGTTTCCATTTTGAAAATAGGTAGAAATGGTCGCTAGAATTTTCTAAGCTCAAATGTATCATTTCATTTGATTAAAATTACATTTATATGATTACTTACCCCCCTCAAAATATATCTCAATAGCTACTTCATATATTACAATATATTCAATGTATTCGACAAAGAATATATAAATAATATTTTTTACATTTCTGCTTCTGCGACACTTATTGTTATACATTCATTTTCTTTTGTTTGATTTATTTATTTATTTTTGGCCAGGTCAATCTTGTAAAAAAGATTTTATCTCAACGTGTTTTATCCAGGTTAAATAAGGGTTACTAAATAGGTTCCTGAATCCTGACAGAATCTCTTTTATGAGATTTCACAGCTGTCCCTATACCTTTTACCAATATTTATGCAAATATTTATAAAATCTGGTTAAATCTAAGTCTTTCTTCATCCAGAAGATAAAGAAGTGAAACCAAACGTAAATGATTAAATTGAACAGATTAACCCAAACCTTCTTTTAATCAATTCTGTAGTATGTTTTGTTCCAGTACTCAAAAATCATTTAATTTCAATTGTCATGAAACGCCCATCAGTAGTTTATGGAGAATGGATGCACTCTACATGTATGATCATATACAGTGTTTAGACACTAGACGGCTGAGGTGAAGGTCTTTTTAGCTTTGCTCTCTGTTGACACCAGCTTAATTGCTAAACTGAGCGCTGGATCAGGCAATCCTTACTAATCAATAAAGTCTTCACTAGCCATTTCCCCCAGTGATTCTGCCCTCATTTCTCCTCTAATTGTTCTTTTTCACCCAGGAAAGTCTACGGCTATGCCATGAGCAAAAAGTGTGTGTACGTGTGCATGTTTCGGTACTGTAAAATGTAATCTTAAAACAACACTACAGAAGAGACCTTAACATTACACACAATATTTCCAGACCAAGTCTTGACCTTGTGCTACCTCATGTAGTTAATTTCATATTTTTGCTGCATGTACGCCTAAAAAGCACAAAGTAATGCTAATCCATTTTCAACATTTTGACATTTTAAATACAAATTCCTAGGATAAACACTATTGAAAGAAATCTATAATCATGAGATAGAACTCTTGATAAAATGTCCAAAATGTGATGTTTAATTAAACCAAGATATAAGACATACATCTCAAATATTATATATCATTTAATAATAAAATATTTCATATATTTTAAAAAAAAACTATTTTATCTTTTATTGCACCTACATCTACACAAAACAGTATAAAGTTAGCTGCATTTATAAGTATATATATAAATGAGTCTATATAAAATCGACTAAAAACATTCACTGAAGTAAAATATCACCTCAACCAATTTATGAAAACAAGGTATCCTAATGTCTATACCACCTAATTATTGAAAAATAAAGCTATAAATAATGACTGACACTTAAGTAAAAATAAAGCACATGATTGGTTCTTGCCTTGACAGATAAAAGCAAATTTTGATTTGCAGCAAAAACTGTCATTACTTTTTTTATCATAAAGAGAGACAGATTCATGGATAATGCAATTGCTTATGAAATAAAAGCCTCTGTCCACTCGGGGACCGGAGATTTAGAACAGGAGCATGATAGCGTGACTTCTCTAACCTTGATGTTGGACGAACCGATCACGTACGACAAACTTTCCTCATATGTTATGGCTTGCAGAGAATTATAGGTCAATTTAGGCTCGGTCAGTGAGACGACCCTCATCAACAACCTCTGTTCCACCATCCTTCCTCTTTAGAAGTTGACCTTTGCGATTTTTCTTGCAAGGAGAGCAGACTCTATATTGCAATGATGTGTGCTCGTAGTGTGGTCAGTCCTCATGTTGTGCTGGATGGGCACTCATGTGTAGTGATGCTTGCAGGGCCCATCCTGTGACTCTGGGGCATATGGACTCTACTGCTCATTTCCCTGGGGCATTATTGCCATGCTGATTTACTACCAGTGAAGGACAATCATCAGAGACCAAATTATACCCCAATCACAGTGTGTGAGTGTTTGTTCATGGTCTTTAGGTTAAAGCAATGAAGGGTGAAAACCTCTATAGACAATCAATTACCTTACAATTAGTATGGTTTTAACTATAATTTCTTATTTTAGTAGGTTGCTTTAAAATATACACATCCAAACACAAATAAATTGGGAAATGAGTCCATGCATGGTCATATTTGTCCATGTCGCACTGACAGCTTTTGACATATTGCACCGTATTTAAGAAATGGGATTCTTGTTGTTTGGAAGTGAGAACCACTTATCTTTAACATTAAAGGTAATAGATCTCCAGGGTGAGATTTTTATCGACATTTCTCATTACCAACCTATTGGTGTTTATAGCGACTGTCATAAATGGCTCCCTGTGGTGCTGTGTTTTATGAAGAGATCAGCTGTCAGGACATATGCGTTCGAATCTCTGCAGGATGCAATGACACCGGTCAAGTTTAAAGACCTGAGAGAGGAAAGAGAGAGAGTACATCACTATACAGGAAACCAGGACAGACTAGATCTAACTGTAAGAAAGTCAAAATAAAAACTGATAATTAATATACACATTATACACACACACACACACACATTATATATATTTTATATATTATATTTTCCGTATTGATCTTGATGTTTCATCTGTATTTTGAGTAACGGAAATTAATAGATCATGTCCTGCCATTACATTTTCCATTTCTGTATAATCAACTATACACTGTGGGTAGATTTCAATCAAAAGGTTGTGTTCCCCAAACAGGGTATTTTCCAAAAATGTCAGATTGAAGCAGTATGTGTTTAATATGTTGTAACTTTACTTAAAATAAATGTCATTAATTGAATTCATCTTGGTCAAATCAATAATCATATCAATAATAATACTTTTTCATCTCTTCCCGTCTCATGAATTATTTTGTGTTTCATAGTTGTTGAAAATGCATATATATCGTAGAAGACTGCTGTATATCTTAAAGTAGACACTGCATAGCATTTCTTATTTTACTGAAAGGTATCTGTCTTGAATCGGTGTCAGTAAACACTACAGTACATGTTCCAACTGTGACAACTTACCCCATATAGTCTGAACACATGCCCTGCTATAAGGTAGATTTCTATATAGTGTGCTAAATGAATTGTATGGCAATAATGGTGGACATTTTCAATAGCATCTTGTAGTCTGAAAGACTACATTATGAGGATCAAGTTCCTCAGACAAATTATAAAATATCTGTTAAGACCTCATTAATAATAAAAAAAGGTTAATGAATGGGCCAAATAATAATTTAATTAAAATTCCAAAAAGCATAGGGTAGCAGCTGTAATTGTAATTAATCTGTTGGAGGTGTCTCTTGTTAACAAATTGGACATCCAGGGCAATTTCTCACTCAAATGGTTTGCTAAACTAATAAATGAATGTCTTACCCACCCAGCAAACACAGTTCACAGAATGCTAAATGAAACGAGCAAAAGCCATTAAATATAAATGCATGACAGCAATGCGTGTTTGTAGGCCTACAGTATAAACCTCAAAATATTCCGCTCAAATAAACAAAACAAATAACTCTCAGGAAGTTGAAACTTAATTTGAACCGAGTTAAATTTAGTTTAAAGGGCCTTTGGGCATATTTAAGTTTATTAATCAAATCTATTCTCAAAACTATTTTATATTTCTTGCTGTTAGCTGTACATTTATACAAAACACTGCTACTTATATCAAAGGCCTAAACAACATTTGCAATGCTTGTCATCGTGTCGGATTTGTGGGTGGTTGACAAGTTGTTACTAAGTGGTTGCTAGGGCGTTCTGAGTGGTTATCCAATGGGTCAAAAAGAGGTTGAGCACCAGTGTTGGGGGTAACGCATTACAAGTAACGCGAGTTACGTAATCAGATTACTTTTTTCAAGTAACTAGTAAAGTAATGCATTACTTTTTTTAATTTACAAGAGAATATCTGAGTTACTTTTTTCCCCAATTTATTGATTGACAGCTCTCCTCTCCCCATGTTGAGAGAAATCAGAAGATGTTACTGTAGTTCTAACATAAATATGAATATGCATTCATTCATCTCACTCACAAAAAACAAAAAAACAGATTCAGTATTCCTCAAAATGAATAAAAATAATGCAACTCAGAATATGACGCAAACCCGCAATAATTAAATGTTAAACGGCACAAATATCCTTTATGTATTTAACTAATGCCTTTGCTTCTGACTTTCGATGATCCAGTTCAACCGTACTAATAAGCAAAAATTACTCTAGACAAACATTTGTGTGTCTTTGTTTATTGCTGAAGTGTGTTGAAATGTCTTCTTCTGCATTCAACTGTACGGACGTAAATTTTTCAAGTCTTATTCATTTCACCTTTGGTGTGAAAAGGCTTTTATAGCCTATTTGTCAAAAATATAACTTTTTTATTTTAAAAACAAACAAGCAAGCCCTGTCCAGATTTTAAAAGTAACGCAAAAGTAACGTAACGCATTACTTAACATAAAAAGTAACCAAGTAACGTAATTAGTTACTTTTTAATGGAGTAACGCAATATTGTAATGCAAAGTAACTTTCCCCAACACTGTTGACCACTAATGTACGAGTAGTAGTAATGGACATACTTGCCTTAGTAAACAACAGCACTACGAGTCCGTGTCACATTCCTAGAGAAGACCTATTGTAGTCATTGATCAGCCAATCAGCGCTCAGTACACATCCACCGCTGAAAGAAGCACGCAGCAAAACAACGCGAGATCTTCAGGGGAGAGAGAGATTCAGCGAGAGCAGAGGAGCCGTAACACCGGCGAGCCAGAACACCCGATTCTCCCTCTGCGGATCCGTTGGACAAAGCGAAGGGTTTTCATGCTCTTGAGACTGCACAGAAACATCACAGGTAAATGATACGTTCATCTGCTGCCGTGAAATAGCGTCCAAACGGCTTTACACGGGCTGTGAATAAGAGGCGGGATGACGTCACCGCCGCCGCTGCTTTCTTTCAGTTCGTAAATGTTTTATCGTGTTGGTTCCGTGTAAATGTATACAGTGTTGGGTGAAAGTCAACTACTATACAGCACACAATAAGGTTTGTGTGTGGGCATTGGTGATGTCCTATTCAATATGTTATTATACATGAATATATGAAATAGAATTGGTTTGGTTTCCCTCTGTTTATAATCATTTGATTCTATTATGTTAATTCTGCCACCCTAATATTGATTTGTTTTGTCTGTAGCTTGGTGGAGGTATGACATTAACCAGGGGCTCCTTCACTTATTCCAGAGGAGAAGAATATACCGGAGAATGGAAGGAAGGCAAGATATTTCATAAACACTTTACACTGATCTGACTTTATTTTTAATACATTTTCATAAATGTGTTTCATATGCTTTACTTTTATTCATTATTTAAATTTGTATTTGTCAAAAAAAGTACATTTTTGTATGATATATTTTGGAATTATTCAACACTGTCAGATACAAAAACTATTCTGTCTACTGTATATCTATAGGGGTGCTCACCCTGTGGTCTGTGTGGGTCCTAACGCCCAATTTGTGTTTTCTGATTACTGTGTGAATTCTGGTGAGGATGGCTTGAGGTGGTGGTACCGCACTGCTTAATGATCCAAACTGCTTATATAATAAATGCAGGTGTAATCTCAAGTAGGAATGACATTCTAATTATAGTACTAATTATCAGAGCCATTAACACACTAGAGAGTAGTCCATAGAATTAGTCTATTGTGTTTATTTAAGAAGCAGTGCGTTTGCTGTGCAGGTCGGAGGCACGGTAAAGGCGAGCTGAAGTTTGCTGATGGCACCTGTTATAAAGGTCATTTTGAGAATGGCCTGTTCCACGGATCAGGGGTATTAGTCTTTCCCGATGGGTCCAGGTGAGTGAGCATGTGATCAGATTCAAAATACTTACCTACTTAAACAGAGATGAACATGTTGGCAGTGACACTGTGAGACTATTTATGGGTTAAACAACACTATTTCTGATCAGCAGGTACGAGGGTGAATTCGCCCAGGGAAAATTCCAAGGGGTTGGAATCTTCAGCAGGTTTGACGGGATGAAATTTGAAGGAGAATTCAAAAGTGGCCGTGTAGAAGGATATGGTAAATATTCCACCTTAATTTGACAATAGCTTCGTTTACATTAGGAATGCACCGAATATTCGGCAACCAAAATTATTCGGCCAAAAATAGCAAAAAAATCTCTTTCGGTGTTTGGCCGAATAAGCGAAATGGCCGACTAATATGTACCGTAACCGAACAATGACTAACATGATCAAATAGAGGCACGCACTAATGCAGCAAATATGTCGGCAGCGTGAAAGTATTTAAAACTATCAGAGAAAGACGCAGAAGTCATTACAGCGAGAGACTGCACTGAACTTGTTACTCGTCAGTTGCTCACTCAGTAACATTTTTGTGAATTTGTTTTAAAGGCATGTGACAATGCGATACATGCAACAAACATCTTCCCAAATTCGTAATGAGAATCATTTATAAATCTGCCTGCTGTTGTCAACAAAAAGAAGCACTGAGATCTTCCTGTGGGTTTCTGCCAAAATAAAAGCCGAGAAAAAGCAACAACTCCATCGACATTCATTAATGATAGTATTGTAATTTTACTGTCGTTCGGTAAAATAAAATAAAAAAGACAATAATAATGATAAATATAGCTGCAAGCAGCAATTGCGGGGCCAAGCACTCCAGAGGCAAAATGAGGAGCTAAGCATGGCATGGAGGATCAGACCAAATGCAATAATGAGTAATAAAAGCAATTTTAGGATGATTGTAATTGAAATGGCTGAAAAATCATAAATACAACAACTAGTAATATGATTAAATGGCTTATGACTTTTGACCAACAGGTGGCGCTGTAATCAAATCATTTTGGTGTGTTCTGTGTGAGGTGACAATGGCACACACAAAGTTTGTTTTCATTATGTCAAAGCTTTGAAGAGATATAACCTTAGAGTCATTTTGGCACCATGCCTACAATTTGTAGCAGCGCTGTACGAAAAACGGTTTCGTCTATCGACACGAAATCCATAACATTTTGCAGACCAAATGCAACAATGAGTAATAAAAGCAATTTTAGGATGATTGTAATTGAAATGGCTGAAAAATCATAAATACAACCATTAGTAATATGATTTATTGGCTTATCACTTTTGACCAATAGGTGGCGCTGTTACCAAATTATTGTGGCATGTTCAGTGTGAGGTGACAAATGCACTTAATTTTCATTTTGTGCCTTATAGTTAAAAATGTTATTAGCATAAAGAAATTGCAACTTTGGACAAGTGGTGGCGCTAGAGAGTTGGAGTTAGAGACTCCAAACTTGCTGTGTTTAATGTTGAGACTGTCCTCTATCAGTGTGCCAAATTTCACAACTTTCCTGCAAGCGGTTCTATGGGCTGCCATAGACTTGCGGCGGAAGAAGAAAAATGACACTAACGGATACGTGACATGGTCAGTGTGAGGTGACAAATGCACTTACAAAGTTTGGTGTCAATATGTCAAATATTTGCAGAGATATAGTCTCATATGCAGTTTGGCATTATGCCTAAAATTTGTAGTGGCGCTGTGCAAAAACGGTTTCGTCTATTGACACGAAATCCATAACTCTGTCAGCACAGTCTGAAGATCATCTGACTCGATTTTGGTGAAAATCGGACCAACGAGTGGCGAGGAGTTAAGAAAAGTAGGTTTTCAATATAAATCAACAGGAAGTTCAGCTTACTCTGGCATGTTTGGTATGTATGTTGTCGGTATGACCCATGGAATATTTTGAGACCAGTTTCATTGCAATAGGCTAATGCAATAAAAAGTTATAAGCATTTTTGTAAATGTAATTATTAATGGTTAATTAATGGTTTATTACTCTTGACCAATAGGTGGCGCTGTTACCAAATTGATGTGGCGTGGTCAGTGTGAGGTGACAATGGCACATACAAAGTTTGGTGCAAATATGTCAAATATTTGCAGAGATACAGCCTCAGATGCAGTTTGGCACTATGCCTTAAATTTGTAGTGGCGCTGTACAAAAACGGTTTTGTTTATCGACACGAAATACATAACTCTTTGTTAGCACAGTCTGAAGATGATTTGACTCGATTTTGGTGAAAATTGGACCAAGGCTTGAGGAGGAGTTCGAAAAAGTAGGTTTACAGCATAAATCAAAATGGCCGACAGGCAGTTCAGATTTGCTAAGCGAAAATTCATATGTCTGTTGTCGGCATAAGCCATGGAATATTTTGAGAGCAGTTTCATTGCAATAGGCTAATGCAATCAAAAGTTATTAGCATTTTTGGAAATTTCATAATTAATAATAAAACAATGGTTTATTACTCTTGACCAATTGGTGGCGCTGTTACCAAATTGATGTGGCGTGGTCAGTGTGAGGTGACAATGGCACATACAAAGTTTGGTCCAAATACGTCAAAGCTTTGCAGAGATACAACCTCAGATGCATTTTGGCATCTTAACCAGCAAATTCGTTGATGCTCTAAATGAAAACCGTTTCGTATATCGACACGAAATCCATAACTTTTTGCCAGCTTGGTCTGAAGATGATCCGAGTCAAATTTGGTGAAAATTGGACTAACGGTCTAGGAGGAGTTCGAAAAAGTAGGTTTTCAACATGAATCAAAATGGCGGACAGGAAGTTCAGCCAATTATGGCAAAATTGGTATCGATGTTCTCGGCATGATGCAAGGAATCTATCAACATCAGTCTCATTACAATGTTATAATGTATGCAAAAGTTATTAGCATTTTTATAAATTGCCTTATAACTTTTGACCACAAGGTCAAACATTTTGAGTGCCATCAGGGCATGGTGCCGAAGATGCATACCGATTTTCGTAATAACAAAGTCTAAGCGTTCTTACAATATTTAATTTTTTGACAAAATTCAAAATGGCCGACGCGAAAAAATTTGGTATGGTTCGACTCGGCATGATGCACCGAATCTAAAGAGACCTGTTTAGTGATATTTGGCCAAACCATTCAGAAGTTATAAGCAAAAATATGCATTTTTGTTATCTCCTGACCACTTGGGGGCACTGCGCCGAAACACTGCAGGTAGTCTCAGGTCATGCTTGTTATAACACACACCAAGTTTGGTCTCAATACGCCAAACCATTGCGGAGATATAGCCTCACATCCATTTTTACGTGCTTTTC